TTTATTGTTGGACGGTACGGTTTTCTGACCAAGCTTTTCGAGGAAATTCACTGAATTGCTTTTGCACAAGTTAACTTTTGACATTTTTATCCAGAGATATACGATTAATTCTTAATCATGAAATTATTACTTTGACTATTAACAATTGACCGTAAAAAGTTTAAATTGTTTTCTTTGCAAGCCGCTTACTATAAAATAAATCTATTGTTCAGGCGTTGAACAATGCTTTGTAGGCCATTTTCGAATGACATTTACAGTTCAGTAGAATTACTTGTTCCAAGCAGAAATTAAATGTTCGCCCAATGAGGAAAGCGCATTCTCAGGCCGAGAGATAATCTTTATTAAACACGGATAAAAGCTTATCATTAACAACTTCTGGTTGGATATTTGTCTTACGCTTTTTTCTAGAAAAATTGTTATTTTTAGAAATTTTAATGAAAATACTTCGATTTTTCCCTCTTGAGATTATTGTATACTGTTTATTAATATGTGACGTAAAATATTATCCTTAAACACTATGATTATAATATCCACATCTTCAAATGGTATTGACATTTTATAGAATACCAAGATACAGGTTGTAATGGACGATGTAGCGATTGCGAAAATTCCGAAGAAACTGAATTCACTATTTTCAAAAAGTAATGAATTTTATCACCTGGCGTAATTTGACGTATATATTTTTTATATAAAGAAAAACAAATTCAAGAGGGAAGAAAATTTATTTATGTATACACAGATAGCTGAAAAGAATGAAAACTATTTAGGTTTAGCCATTATGAAATTTGCGCGTGTCTGTGTTGAGCCACGTAGGTGGTTGAAATTAAAACGGCCTGCCGGTAGAAGAAATCTCACGCATCAGAGAGACGTCTTTTTGTTATTTGCTTTTTTTTTCTATTACACTCCTGAAAAAAATAAAAATAAAAAATGGAGTTGCTGATCTGCATTTTTTAAGTCCTGAACAGCGCTACCTAGCAGACGTCTTGTCTTGGGCTTAATATTCATCTAGAACTTTCAAAAATATCACTAAATCCTACAGAACTACTATGACGCTTCACCATTGACACCATTATCTTTAATTACCAGAATGTTTCTGAATACCTGTTGTCTATCTCACGTTTGGCAATAGTAAACATAAATATTTCATCCTGGTTGAGTCACGTAAAATTGGAATTCATTACCAAAGTGAGAAACTTAAGTTGCATTATTTCATGTGGACTCTAAGAGGTTACAGAACCTGCAGCATAAAAAAGACCTTTTCAGCTGCTCCAGGACAAAACTATTTTTTCATGTTATCTGAAAGGTCGTTTCCAAATGTTTAACATCCTCCCCTCTTTCTCGAACGAATTTAATAATGAAATTCGAAGTCATTTCTCAATTAGCAGTCAACTTAAATGCAATGATCGATTCTTTGTTGGTAGGAATTATATGTTAAAGGACGTAACGTTGCATGTTAGATTTCCGAGAGAGCTGAGGCCTTATTACCTTTGATTTTATGAATCACTAATTTCCAGGCTTAACTTGATTTTTTGTTCGAACCTCGAAGGCCTGGAAGCTAGACTACCCAGTAAGAACATTTGTCACGATGAAGAGCCTAGAAATCAGGATTAGCCATCGAATTCGATGGGCCGCACACCTTGCCCGAATGTCAGACATCCGCCTGCCCAACCAAATCTTCTCAGAACTCGAATCTGACAAAAGACCACGTGAAGCCTCTCGTCGTTGATTTAAGGACCAACTCAAAAACATATTGCTGAGGATAGACACCCAACCACCAGAAACGAAACATAAACGTCTCAAATTGCCAACAAACCTTTCTTCCTATCTTCTATATGAAAATCTAGAACAGCAATTAAAATCCAGTAAAATAGAAAACATTAAATTTATCAAAACATATGGTACACAATTACATAGATCTCTATTTCTCTCTCCGTCTCTTTCTCCCCCTGACACTCTCTGTCTCTTAGTAGAGAGGAAAACTGAACCAGGAGGTCACAACAACAAAAAGGATCATCATTTCAACTTAGAACTAAGTAAATTCTTATTGTTCAATGTAAAGTCTTATGTTATAAAAAAACCTCGGAGAAATTCCAGTAAGATATCATTTTTAAGATACAGCGGTTGAAAGGTTAATCTAACTATCGGACAATTTTGTTACAACTGTTATATATATATATATATATATATATATATATATATATATATATATATATATATATATATATATATATATATATATATATATATATATATATATATATATATACACACATATATATATATATATATATATATATATCAGATTTATAGGAGGCAACTCGGCGTGGTGTAATGGTTAGCAAGCTTGTCTCGCTCGATCAGTTACAACTGAAAAGTGAGTTTGATCCTCACTAGATGCCCCATACTTTCGGCCTTGTGCCACATCTAAGCTATGCTTGGAAAATAACTATGTCAGATTTATAGTGAGTAAATTACCAAATAAAAAATAACGTCTTTTGATTCTGGAAAGTTCTTCTTCCGACAAATGTTTACATACACAAAGGCCAAATCTGACTGAACAAAAAAAAAAGATCACATAATTAATTGCAGTCAGACTATTGTCCTAATCTGTTATCTCTTTATCAAGATGTTTCGATCATAGTGTCATCCAGGTTTCGTCAATTGCATGATAATACAAGTAACCTTTGAGGTATTTCGAAACGAAAACTTTATTATCCACAATGGCAGATTGTTCTCATTTCATTGTCGATGGTTAGGGGCAACTTGGTTCGTATTGCCCACCTGTTTCATGTGCGTCTAAGTCGGCCTTTCCTGGCACACGGATTTTACTCACAATTTGTATGTCAACAACTTCAGGAAGCAACACGTTTCTGAGTCTGGTACCTTGTAGCATGATAACTATTTTGCATTATGCTGGCATTACTTGTTACGCTTGACTGCTTTCCCTGAGTTTTCTATTTTCTTACTGCTGCTGCTATTGAAGCATTGCTGACAGATCTCTTTCTTTATTGATGGCTCCCTATTGTATTTATTTTTATGCAAGGCATAATAAATTGGGCCTAACATGGAATGATAGACGTCTGGAAGAACATCAAAGCATTAGAGAATTTCAGAGTGAAATGATAACACTCACTGGTCAACAGTTAATAAAGATTATAATCTTGTTCATAAGACAAGGAAAAAAATCCACTAAGGAAAATATTCAGAGAAGAAAGAAAAACATTTTTCCACAAAATACTGGCAACTTGGTCTACATCTTGTTAAGAGTTGTATTCATAAACAAGGTTTCCAGACAGACATGCACTAATGTAGCACCCTCGAAATCATGTGTTTAGATACAAAACCTGAGTAAACTTATAATTAAAACACATTATAGAAAGAACAGAAATCAGAAAGCCGTGTTCAAATTTCCGCTGGGAATATATTTAATCCATTCTCCCCAAGCAATGTGATAACGCTACTAAGACGAAAGGGGCTGCTGCCAATTTATTTGAAAATTGTGCTATCCAGGTTTTTCGCCCAACTAGTTTAAACAGATGTACATCATATATATATATATATATATATATATATATATATATATATATATATATATATATATATATATGTCCCAAATATAGGACGAAACGGCTGTCCAGCGCTTTCTGCATTCTGTGGAGGTTTCTTCTAGACTCGAAAAATTACTTAATTATCCCAAATGTCTGGATGGAGCGGCTTGGGGATAGTAGTCACGGCTCTAGGGGGCACAGTCCTATGGGTAAAGGAATCCACCACTGAATATTGGAACGAGCGGCGCAATATCGAGTCGAGTTCGCTACCTCTTCGTCACCGAGGCCTGTCAGTGTAGTTGGTATGACGTTTGTCTGTCAATGTAACTGTCCTGGTTTCAATTCTCGGTAGTGGATGCGCACTCCTGATGAGTCCCAAATATAGGACGAAATGGCCGTCCAATGCTTTCTGCATTTTGTTGAGGTTTCTTTTAGACTCGATAAATTACTTAATATATATCATATAAAAATGGTCATTGAAGTCAACACTGAGAGGCTAAAAGCAATCGGTAGCCTGAGGATTGCGTTTAGCATGAAAGAGTTTATAACCTATGAGTGTTGACGTCAATGTCCACTTTTTAAAAATTATATTTACATACGCTCTGACTCTGATATTGAGAACTTTATCCCATAAATATATCATAGCTTAAAACTATATTTCATCATATATATATATATATATATATATATATATATATATATATATATATTGCCAGTCACGATGTACTGATGATTTCCATATAGACACAGATTATATCTACAAACGTTGTATTCGCGATATCGAGTAAGCTGTCTCTAGAAAAAACAATATAATTACGTATATATATATATATATATATATATATATATATATATATATATATATATATATATATATATATAATACGTCTGTGTGTCCGTGTGTGTGTTTGTTTGTTTACAGATTGCGAATGATAGATGACTGGGCAGGAAAAAGTTAGTCTCTTAGTCATAGCTTTTCGTGAAGTCTCCTAGCGATAAATGTCTCACTGTTACATATCTGGCTTATTACATTTAAGAAATTAACCATTTGTAACAATCATAGTAAATATGACAAAGCTCATTCTTTCGGCTTACCCACTGAAGATGTAATGGCGTCAGACTTGTTTCAATCCGTTTGAGATAGATGGACGAGAATTGGATGCAATGTTAAGTGAAAAATATTTATCTGCTTCCTTCTTTCTCGATTATTTCATTTTTTATGAAAACATATTTACTCGCTTTTTATCTCTTCACAACTTCTCTTCGAATTATATTTTCTTTGTTCATTCGTTTTATCATCATTTGTCAAATGATTCTTACGTTATTTGTAAATTTCTGTCCTTTTCAATATAGTATTTGTCCATATGTTTGTCTGTTTCCTTGTTTGTTTCTTTGTTTCTTTGTTTCTTTCTTTCTTTCTTTCTTACTTTTCTTTTCTCGTTTTAATTATAAATGTTATTTTATTTAACTGACCATTTATATCACCATTTACCGATTCTATCATACTCAATTTTTCTTTTTTTTGTTTCCTCATTCTTTTCATTCTTTATTTGTTTCTTTCTTTTCTTTTCTTTTCTTTCTTTATTTTTCCTCCTCCTTTCGATCGTAATTGATACATTATTTGGCAAATCAACCAGATCCATATTTCAGATCCTTTTTTCTTTCCTTTTATGTTTTTATTTCTATCTATTTCACTTTTCTAAACACCATTTACAGACCCCTTCTTTCTTTCTTTCTTTCTTCTCGTCTTTTCTAATTTCAGTTGTAATTGACAGTTTATTTAAAAAATCAACCAGACCATCAATTTGTAGATACCTTCTTCAGACACATCGTTCTTTCTTTTTTCTTTCTTTATTTTTCTTTCTTCCTTCCTTTTTCTCTTTCGTTTTGTTTCTTTATTTCTTTTCTTTCTTTCTTTTTTATTTATTTGGTTTTCTCAATCCACTCGTAATTGTTATTTTGCATAAGGATCCATTCAGATCAACCATTACCGATCCATCTGGTTGCCTCTTTCTCTTTCATTCATTTATTCATTCATTCACTAATTCATTCATTCATTCTTCCTTTCTTTGGAGCTTTCTTTCTTTCCCTTCTCTCTTTCTTTTCTTTCTTTTCTTTTTTTCTCTTTTCAGGTGTAATTGGTATTCTGCTTGATGAAACATTTAGATCAACATTTACCGATCCCATCTGGCTGCCCTTTTAACTTTCTTTCTTTCTTTCTTTCTTTCTTTCTTTCTTTCTTTCTTTCTTTACTTTCAAGCTTGCTTTGTTTCAAGCGCTTGCTTTGTTTCTTTGTTTCTTTCTTTTTTCTACAGACCTTTCTTTCTTTTTTCTTCCTTACTTCCTTTCTTTCATCTTTTTTGTCCTTTCTTTCTCGGCCAACCGAACCATTAACCAATCCTACATAATATTCTTCCCAGTGATTTATTCCATTTTAGCTCCTCGTCTTTCCATTATGCTGTTCGGTTCTGATTTCGTTTCCTTTCATTCTGGCTAATGTTGCGACCATAAAAGGTCCCCGCTCTACCGAGAAACGGAACTTTACGGGGGGGAAAACGATGACAAACGTTGGCCACACTGACCTTACTTATTTAAGGGAGCGAACGATGTCCACTTCCGACCAGAAGGAATCACTCTCCTAATGTTCTCCACTTCTAAGACTCCCAGTAATGAAGATCTGAGAAGTAAATTAAGGGCTGATGACAGAGCAATTAGTTCGAATAAGCGAAATTATGTTCGGTCAAAACGTTTGAACGAACAAAGAATGAAGAACTGTTCTTCAATATAATTTCGTTCCAATAATTTCGGCCAGATAAAGTAAAGACGACAGATCAGTTTTAGCGAGTATTCATGTAACAATGATTACAATCTCATGGAATATGTGTACAAACACATGAATCCATTCTTTATATATATATATATATATATATATATATATATATATATATATATAAGAAAAAATACAGAAAAAAAAACAAACAAAAAAATCTGAATATGAAATTATGTAGTATTAATGTTAATATAAAGTCGACGTCGGACGTTTCGGTCTATTTAAGACCATCTTCATGGACATTTTCATTTAAACATAATTAACATTAGAACTTATAAAAATTTAACACAAAAGACGATGGAAATAAGAGCCCAACTAATCCAAACAGATAACTGAAATTTTATACAGATCAGCGTTCCGTTTAAATATGATCACGTAGTCGTCACGTGGGCGATGTTGTTAAAACGTATTCGAAGATGATTTCCAAAAATTAAAAATATTAAAAGTCGATTGAAAATTTTGTATAAACAGTTCAATAAATCTCTTCCGTTGATGTCGGAATACGTAGTGATCAATAGGTTCTTATATCTTCAACAAGCTTGAAGTCCTTCCCGTTACAAGGCAAATCAAAAAATGATTTCAAAAACGATGGAACAGTTCTAAAAAACAGTTCGATAATAAATCCTTTCCTTACTTGATCAATAGATTCTTATATTCTCGTCCAAGCTTGAAGTCTTCCACGTTATAAAGTAAATTCAGGTTTGTATTTCCAGTAGACAGTATGTAAGCAAATATATGGATATAGATCCGACAGTATGAAAGAAAAATACAGAAAAAACAAACAATTCAGATTTTTGTTTTCTGTATTTTTCTTTCATACTGTCGGATCTATATCCATATATTTGCTTACATATATATATATACACATATGATTATACATATCTTCTGTTTATACGCTATTTTTATAGATAAAATTTATTTAACTGAATGGTCTGTTTTTTCTTTAATTAAAATATTAATTACATTTATCGGCCTGAATAATAATAATAATGGACTCTCCCGTCGGTTTCGACGTATGAGGATCTGACAGCTTAATTGATTCAGTTATGAAATTTTGTGCGATAATCTTAAGTGGCATTTAAGACTCGCTAGTGAATAATAAAGGAGGCCGCATATGGGGCA